CCTGCTCTGATTTAATATATATATACCTGGTTCCATTTCACCATCATCAACTTCTTCAGCCACTTTTACTTCAGCTTGATGGCACCTGGTTAGTTCAACCTCTCTTTGTTGCAAGGTCTGCAGTCATTTTTACAGGGTCTTTGGCTCAGTCCATCGGCATTTCCATGAGATTTTCTCTCTCTGTATTCAATATCATAATTATACTGGTCTAACTTTCTGATCCAACGTGCCAGTTGTTCCTCTGGGTTCTTTAATGATCTTAACCATGGTAATGCAGCTGGGTCTGTCTTGATGGTAAACCATAGAGGTAAGGATGGAAATATTTCAGACTCTTTATTATAGCAGCAACACTTACCGGAAGTTGGCCTTTGTTGTTCCCAAACATCATTTTATCAAAGTTCCTCGGTAGTAAGTAGTCCAACCCTAATATGCACAGGTCTTCAATGTCAGCCAGGTATACTTTGTGTCTGTCCTTTATGCCCTTGAGCTTAATAGTTACCCACACTGGTCCCTACAACCTTGCATAATGTCCTGTCACACCACATAGCTTTTGTATAGCTTCTGGTACTCCTTTGTGATCCAGCACCTTGATACTCACAAGGGTTTGCTGAGATGCAGAATCTGTGACAAAGTTGCACTTTTGGCCATCCAGCTTTACTGTCACGTATACACTATGTGTGCTTGCCATTTGTCACTTAGCTGTTGGGACTTTCACAATCGGAGTTGATAGGCGTCCCTCAACACCAAGCACTACTGGTTTCCCTGAGGCTGACTTATTGGTAGTATTCTTCTTACTCTGGCTCTTCATATGTCCTTGCTCTCCACAGTTCCAACAACCTTTCTGGGTAGCAGCCTTTCCTGCTGTGGCATCTTTCCTGTGTTGAAGTTACCATCATTGAGCTCTCTTGTGCCCAGGTTTGTTACAGTGCTACCAAAGTCCCTCAAACTTTTCTAAAAGCTACCCTTTTCTGGCCTTGAATCGTGATGACTGTACAGACCTTTGTACCTCTGTGCTGAACTTAACCTAGGATTCAACTTGAAGATCTCTGGCCATTGCATCCTGCATAAAAGAGGGGTGTGCTTGCTT